GCAAGAGAACAGGGCCCTTGTTAGAGAAGCGTATGTAAAGCTGGAGAATGAGCGTTTGTTAAGAAACCAGGAAACAAACTGGCAGTAGATCAAAATGGTTTGCATAAATATTTTTTTTATTATCTAATTCATAGTCTTTCTTCTTAAGTGATGATTTAAAAGCACTTAATCTATGGCAGTGTGCAAATGGAATTAAAATGCTTGATTGATAGTATGTTGCATTCATATTAAATGCAAGTTCTTATTATTTCCAACAAACAAAAGGGTGGGATGGGTAGGGGGAGATATTCTTGGCATGGCAGCTATTCTGGAAAAGTCAGCTGCAGGAGGAGACCTAAGGGGAATAGTTGGAGGTCCATGTGATAAGTAGATGAGGGTTAATTAGATACTTGATTTTCCTTTTGCTGTGTTACACATGAATCAATCAGCACTTCATTGGCCTTCATCTGCCTCAAGCTACACTAGAAAAATGAATTGAGTGCTAAAGAGAATTAGATTAAAAGAATTAGTAGAGTTAGATAATGATGAAATTAAAAGACTTTTTTGTATGAGAGATTGATCCAGTTTTTAAATGTAGTTCAACTTTTGTGAAGTAGAAACATGCAGATTGATTGACTTTTTAATATTACATGTTATAATATGGTGACAAAATCGATTTTTTTCTGTGAGTTTTTGCTTAATATCTGTGATTTCATGCATAGTAGAGTTCCTAAAATGTCATAACTGAATATATTAAGTTGTTATAACAGAGTTCTTAAGACTAGATAGTAGCTTTTTCCATATCAATGATAGTAATACAATACTCATAAACATTCTTTCAGTGTAATGATTCTATTTTAAACTTGGATCATTCATATTGCCTTCCTCTGAACTCTAAATACTATTCTTAAGCTACAGTAATCAATAGTACAGAGACTTTTCTAGATAAAATCACAGCATTTGTTTTATGGGTACCTCATGTTTTCTTCAATATCATAAAGCCTTTTTGTCTACCAACCTCTACATAGCTTTCTTGGAAGCTTGTGGATTCAAGCTTGGAGAGCTATTGTCTATTACCTAAACATGTTCAGATTTAGTTCTTCACTAATCTCTGTATAACAATCTGCAATTCTCTATATGGTACCCAGTGCAGAACTGTGAGTTAGCCTGTAAATAATATTACCAAACAAGCGTTATTGGCAATGATGGGAATAGAGTTCTTTATCTATTCTTCTGTGACTGTTTGAGGAAAATGAAGATACTATGGTGAAATAAAGCTGCTCCTGTCTTGGATAAAGGTCAGAATATCTTTTTGGATTTGCCTGCAAATCGGAATATTCATTGTACAAAGCTGACCTAGACCACATTTGTATTATATTAGTAACAGGAATCTCATTGTTATTATGTTTGAAGGTGCCACAGTCCTTTAGGCTGTAGTATAGAGCCTTTTGTTGCTTGATTAGATCTTAAATTAGTTCTGAAAATGGATTTGCTTTTGGTAGAACCTCTTCTAATTATCACTGGACAGTGTTTTCATTGTTATCCACGTCTAAGATAAATTTTTAGAGGTGATTTGGGCTGAACTGTAACTGTCTCTAGATCTCTAGATTGATGCATTTTACACTCTTCCTTATAATTGGCAGTGCTAGTGTTCCTGGGATGTGTGAATTGGATCTGGGAAGATATATGTCCTTCATCTTCCTTGCCTCAATCTTTGTGTGGCTATTAGAGAGCCTTTTGGTACAGAAAAAAATGATTTATTTGTTTATATCTTTATTCTGATATTTGGGTGTTATTACAAGCAGGACTGCATACTTGAATTTTGTCTATAGCAGTTGTCTTTGGACAATTGTTTTAATGTTTCAAATAATTATCTGGGGTATATCAATATCTAGGGTATGTGAACACTGTACATTGCCTCTCACCTCAATGAGTCTAAAATGTATCTTTTCATATTTAAATGCAAATGTTAGTGTGCGTTCAGGAGAAACAACTCTCTTCCAGTCAAAACAAGAAATATATCCAATTCTTTTGACATTTTCATTTTTAATTGGCACTTAAAATGATCGTAATCATGTAGGAACTAGCTGAGCTTTATGTTCCTAGATCTCAGTTTTAAATATGAATCATTTTAAAATTCATTTGACAGAATTACTTTGAAAATATTATATTTGAATTGCCCTTAAGTTGGATGATAGCTTTTTAAAACCAATTCATAGAAAAGTTGGGGAAAAAACGTTACCATAAAAAGCTATGTTGAGATGCAAATATTAGACACCTCTATATTCACTATATATATTTGGGAATTTAATTATTTCTTATTGAAAGTGGAAGTCATAATGAAGAAATGAGTCTAGACATGCTTAAAGAATAACTTTTCCATGTTTTCTAGTAATGTACTTAATATATAGTCCTATTTAAAATGTATTTACTTTCAATTCATGCAGTAGAAGTATCACAGTAGTAACACTACAACCTTCCTGTTGCACTTTATGTGAATAATCACTATATGTAAAGCATATGAAATTCAGTGTAATAAACCATGGATAGTAGAGGAAAATACTTTGTTATTTTTGCTCTTAACATCTATTTCTTAATAAACTGTTCTGAAGATAGTATTTTAAAAGGTCATTACGAATTAGAAAATTGTATTTCAGCTGCAGCGGTGCTTAAGGTCAGTGGTTAAGGTACCATTCTGGTTGAGATTGACATGCCTGTTCTCTTTGGAAATGGAAAAATTTTAGAAATCTTAATGTCTGTGTATGCTGGCTTCCATCTTGCATATATTTTCGTTAGTATCTTCCTATTTAATTTTGTAGCAGATTTCTCAGATATGTGTACATGTGTTGTTAGGACTGGCTTTTTTACCGATGTGAGGGTTTGGGTCTGGGAACACACACTTGAAGAAGAGACATCAAAGAGGAGGTCTGAGTGACTCTGGTAAGCAGAGGTCTTAAATAATTCATTTGAAAGCTCCTCAAAAGTCTGTTGACTCCCAGCAGGGGGAGTCTGACATGATCTGTCACACTTCAGAATTGTAGAGATTGACCTGAACAAGAAGAGACCCTCAATTATCTCTGCAATTTCTTTTCCCTCAACGCTTTCTGTTTTTGAGAATTCTACAGTCCATTTTATTTTCTAATCTAAAGATTAGAAAATCTTAAAATTTTCTAAAGATTAGATTTTCTAAAGATTAGAAAATGCTCTACTTTGCAACCGAAAGAGCAGTAAGTAGGCTGAATTTCACATAAGTCATGAGGAAGTGCTGAAAAAGTACCGGAGTTGGCAAATATGCTGTTGTCTTAGTAGATTTTTGCAGGGGTGGTTTGAATTTTAAATGATTCCATTATACAAGGAACAGGATCTAGGTCAGTCCTGAAGTATATGCACAAGACGAGTAGGGACTGAATTTTATATCTTTTTAATTAAACATCCACCCAGTTTTTATGCTGATACATGAAATCATTATTTAAAGTATTTCCATTCATGACAGCACCTAAATGAAATCCCCAGTAAAGATCGAACAACTTTTTATATTCACTTAACTACTTAATCTTCTCATCTCCTTAATACCTTTAAGTGTTTTCTGGTATTGTTCCAAAAGCCATCCTATATAGGTTTTGGTAGACTAGGAAGCTAGGAAGAGGTAGAATCTCTTTATAGAGAATGACTGGCATGCCATTTTTATATAAATTATCTTTGATACCATATATGAGCAGCACTTCTGTAAGTAACGACATCCTGAGCAAGGCAGGTGAGCATTTCCAGTTAAGGATTGCACCCCATTCTGAGAAATAATACCTTATCCTAATTACAAGATCAAAGAGGTATGGTTTGCAGCTTGTAACATTTGCATGAGAGGTGGTAACTTGCACTTTGATGGAATGTGTAGGTAGCAATGAGGTGGCTTACAAAGTTACTGCATTTCTACCCTAGTGAGTTGGATGAACCAACTGCATTGTCAAGGCTGAAAATGTAGATCTGGTTCTCGAGGCTGATAAAATGCGATGTCTCCTTGTTATTCTTCTAAAATTCCAATTGCATAAACTGCATATCTAGAGGAAATCTAAAGGGAATTATGACTTTATATACAGCTTTTTTTTTCTTTTTTTTCCCCAACACTGTTCCGTTACATTCTCTCTAACTTGAATTTGGACAGGAGATTGGAGATTCTGAGAAAGAAGCAAAGGTATTTTGCTGCCCATTTTGTAGGGGATGTCCTGGATAGTGATCAGTAGCTTTTGCTGCTTATGCTTTTAGTGATGTATAAATGAATGGAAACCACTAGCCCATTTCAAAAAGACTACTAAGCAACCACTGTTTTCAGCTACTGCAGACCTAGATTTGAATCAAAGCTCATCAAGATGAAAGACTGTAACCCATTACTAGTCCCTTGAGCCTTCCAGGCTTTTTTCTTTTTTTAATGCACGGCCTGTTAATGGAAAAAAAAATAATTTCCAGTTCAGTTTCCCCTCAGTACAATCAGTGATCTTTGGATTGGTTTTAGTCTACTCTGTGAATTATTCTCTAGCAGTGCAGAAAGAATTTCATTTCCTTTTTGTGCAATTTGTTTTCCCTTGTGTGTAGAGTAAGAGTTAACAGAATAAGAAGCAGAGATTCTGAGATGCTGTACAGGAATTGCGTTCTCTGTCATTTGTGGTTTAAGAGAAGGGGGTGGTGTTCGGCTCTCGAAAGGGCTTTAATGAATCCTGTTTGGTGTTTTTGAAAGCTAATGGTCAGAGGAGAGCAATAGAAGGAGCCTTGGACCCTTTTAGGGTAAACTAATTAGCATTTTTCCTGATCGAGGTGGTTGTTTCACCTTCATTTTATTTCAAGATTTTTCATCATCCCTTGCCTTTTGTTTTTATTCAAATGACATAGCATTAAAGAAGCCTTTTTTATGTGAATGCGATCCTCCCCCTTCTCTCCCCCCCCCCGCCTCTTTTCCCCTAGAAAATTGCTCACCACAGACGAGGAGAGCATGTGTTCCTCTTGTCTTGGTTGGGTGCACAAATCTTCTTTTATGTGCGCTGCTGCTTGCCCTGTTGCCTAGACGATCCCTTGCTTTCACTAAGGATGTCTGGTTCTCGTAAAGAGTTTGACGTGAAGCAGATTTTAAAAATCAGATGGAGGTGGTTTGGTCATCAGGCATCAGCTCCAATCTCTGCAGTCGATAACAACGAGGGAGGCTTCTGGAACCGAGGACAAAACGTAACAACCGGTGGCACAAAGTTTATAGATCCAGGTAATCTACCTTTAGCATCAGTTGGTTACAGAAGGTCCAGCCAACAGGATTTCCAGAATTCGCCTCCTTGGCCAATGGCATCCACCTCAGAAGTCCCTGCATTTGAATTCTTAACAGAAGATTGCGGAGGTGCACGTTGGTTTGACAGACAAGAAACAGATGATAGAGCAAGTGAAGAAGAAAATGAATCAGACAGCAGTTCCTGCAGGTTATCTATTACTTTTCTATTTTAAGAACTGTGTTTTCATTTCATGTTTACAGATACCAGCTGTGTATAGGGTGGGATTCTGAAGTGTTTCAGAAACCTGGCAATTGCTGTGCATCAGAATTATACAAGTCTTATTCAGAAATATAAAAACATTAATTATCAAAGTTCTCTATGTCTACTGGGACATCCTTAAAAGATAACTTTATTTTGTCAGTGTGGATAAGAATTGATTTTAAAAGCTAAGTGAAAATGATTCTCTTTGTGTGTGTTCATGTGTGTGTTGGCATGCACTCACTTCTTTTAAATGGCACACTACACACATGATTCTGTGAACAAGATGATGTTCACTACATTATAGTGTTACAGGATGTTTTAAAAATTATTTTGAAATGACACCAATTGCCTAGTTATGCTGAGAATCATTCCATGCAAGTTAGGAGAAAATAAAAAATGTGTCTGATATCAGATATTTCAAAGTCTTTTATAGATGAGGGAGACAAAAAGGGTTAAAAATATTAAGGCTGTAAATCTTTTTTTGTTTGTTTGTGTATATGCAACTTAAAATCATCTGCTGAAAGTGATACATAGTCAACCAGTTTGTACTGTAACGTGGTATCGAAAGATAGCTTTAAAATGAATGCCGTTTTCCATTCAAGTGTGTTACAGTGTACACCTAGATTAAAAATAGGAAATGGTTTTAGTGTGTCTGTGGAGATGTTTTCTTCTCTTAAATTACTAAAGATTAAACTATAAAATTTGTTCTTCAGTATTTGCTAGTTGGAAGAAAATTAGGCAAATTAATAACTTTTTTTTTTTTGTTAAATACCAGTTTTAACTTAGTGAAAGGAGCCAAGTTAGCTATCCTTCTCTGAAAGTGTTTTTTCTCCCTTTTATAGTGTGTATAGAGCATATTGGTCAAATATTTCTTTTTTTTGTTTTTTTGCTTCCTACCTTTTAAGATAGTTTTGCAATGATATGACATTTCAGAAAGTATAACTGTTTAAAAGGTGCGCTGTTAAAGCCTACTAGGGACAGATCAGTCTAGTTAGAACAGTTTTAGTGTTTTGCATTCCCTAGGAGAAGAAATGATCTGGTGCCAAGGGCAGAGCTGTCAAGAATGAAAGCACAAGGTATTTATGGTTTGTATAACCTTTAAAGATTAGAGAAAAGGAAGGAGAGTAAAGATTCCTAGGAGTCAACATGGTGCATTTGCTTTTATCGCTGGATTGATGCAAAACTGTTAAAATTATAGGGAAAGGCAACCTGCATGCTGATATTTAATACTAGTGGTCTTAGCATGCTGCAACAAATATACTGCTGCAAAGAAAGTATATCTGCAGAGCTCCTATTTTAAGTGTTTTTTATTTATTTATTTATTTATTTATTAATAGCTTTGCCACTCACTGGATGCTGCCTATAATAACAGGTGCAACATAACCTTCTGTTTCAGAAATATGTGATACAAACTTTTGATGTACAGTTCTATCCTCTAATAGGGTATACTCGCTATAGCAAGCGAGTGTATATATATATATATAACTAAATATAACTAAAGGTAACATAAGGACTTGTTTCGTTAGCTATGGGCTAACATTACGGGCTATGTTGTTCTCAGATGGTCTCTTGCCTATATGAGAACCCTGTTTTTCTTCATAGATATAAATTCTGTATAAGGGGGATGGGTGTTTTTTTGTTAAGGTTTGGTAGACAGTAGGAGTTATTTTGCTTCTTTAGCCTCCGTATGTACTGCCCAGATACAAGCCCTAAAAACGTGGGTTGTAACATGGAAGCTTCAGTGCCAAAAGCAGCTGCACTGCTTTGAGTGCATCGGCCTCCCTCTTTGCCGTGTCACATGGTGTGGGAAGAAGAGCTTGTAGACCTGGTCCCTTGTTATGAAAACTTTAAATCATTTTGTGATTCCTTTAGAGGAGAGACAATGTACTTTGTGTGTGTGTGTTATTGTAGAACTTGATGGCAAAAGGGGTAAGCAAATTGTAAGTTTAGTTCCAGATCTTTGTTAAATGATGATTTTTCCCAGGCACAAGCAGTTCATTCAAGCGCCAGAGCTAGTCACCTATAATGATACACACATTAGGCACTCTTATGTGCCTTTTATGGCTAACATTAGCCTGAATAATAGTTTACAACACTAGTATGGGTCAAATATTTTTCTTTTGCTGTATTTACTGTTGACATTTGTTAGCTTGCCTACTTCCCTGACACTATAGTCACTTTTGTTTTTCTAGTCTTCTGAAGTTTTCCAGTAAAACTATGCAGATGTTTGCAGAAAATTCAAGCATGTTACCAATAGATTTGTCTTCCTTTGCTTTTGTGGATGCCTTAGAAGCCATCCACAGACCTGGAAGGGACAGTGGATGACAAGCTGAAAATTACTGCTGTAGGGCACACCCACAACATCAAGGGTTGTAGCTGCTTCGTTTTTTCCCGGACATGCATTTGAAAACTGAAATTACTTTCCTGTGGATTAATTATGGAAATATGTTTGTATTCAAATATAATACCAAAATACATAATCAAACATAAAATGCAAACAGTATTTTAGGATTCTGCAGTAGTGTCCTAACCTTGAGTGGTTTAATAAACTGTTTACAACTGATGTTAAGCCAAGCTCTGAATTTACAAAGTAATAGGTACTCTGCATTAATGCGCCGTATGAGCCGTCTCAGTGGTAGTATTTCAAACATTTCAAAGTTTGTCCCCCTGACAATTTTACGTGTACAAAACCCCTTGGTATTGGTAATATCTTTTCTCCTACCTCAATCTTTCTGACCTTTGATGTTTTTCTATAGTTGTGGTTGTGATTGTTGCATGTGCTGACCAGATTAAAGCTATCTCAAAAGTATATTTTATTATTATACTTGCCCCATACTAAAATATAGATGTATCATGAGGTAATCAAAGTAGCTATATTTTCCAGAGAGAACATATGTTACAGGGGATATTTGTGTGCATACACAGATTAACTGCAGGAAATCTAGGAGATAAGAAAGGAGGTAAGGAGGTAAGACAGGAAATGTTCTATTGCAGTGGAAGGTCTAACTGCAGTGAAGTGTATGCCTGCATTATTTCCTACCCAAATTAAAAGCTGATAAGGAGATAAGTAGTATCATCTTAGCAGTTTTTGTCTACCTATCCCTGGGCTTTCACAGGTAGCACTGGAGTCTGTGCTTCAGCTTCTCAGGGTTTCTGTTATTCATACTAGTTAGATGTGAATTATTGCAGATGTATTTGTTGGCTGCAAATGCACTTATTTATTGCAAGGTAGACATACAAACAGAGTTCTGGCTATTGCTATAATTCCTTTCTTTAGCACAGAGCAGATCCCTAATCCTGAAGTTCCTTCCTGGTCTCCACAGTTGCCTTTGTTTTTTTTTCAGTTATTTTTCTGATGGCAAATTCTAATACTCTGGATTTTAGCAGCCTTTGTCATTACTGTGTCTGACTTCATCCTTTTATTTATGTTTTTCCCCACCCTTTGGAAGAGTCTGGTGTGTTTTGTTGTTGATATTTTGTTTGCTTGTTTTTTGTCTTGTTTTCTGTTTGTTTAAATTCTTGCTGTATTTTCCAGGAATCCTTTCAGCATCCTCTTTTTCAATACACTCCATTTTCTGCAGCATTGATTCTTATATTTCTAACTTTATAGAGAGTCAAATGCTCACTTTTTCAATGTCAGGCCAGATCATAGAAGCTGGTATGAAAACTGTGATATTATCCTATTGTACCCATTTTCATATACGATAAAGTGTCAGCTAACCTAGAGACAATAATGTAAATAATCAGATTATTGATTATTTACATAAATTCAATGTTATTGTACATAAATTCAATGCAGACAGCCACCAAAATGCAGTAAGTTTGTAAAATTAAAATCTATTTGAAAGTATGAAAGATGGATCTTTATGTATTAACTTGTCATGCCCTTCTAGTGCTCATCATGCCCATCCCCTTCATGCCGATCCTTCTAGTGCGTATGACTACTGCAATGGACTAACCTACCTTGAAGATGACTTCAGGTGGTAACAGGACTTCTAATAGAGAGTGAAAAGTAGCCTAGAGTACATATGTTCATGATGTAGAATAGCAGATCTATTGTGTTGTCTCAAAGTAAGCAATAAGCCCGTCTTTTGACAATGTAATACTTGCAGTTAGGATGTGCATCTACTGGTGATTTGTCTGTTCCAGGCATAAAATCAGTGCCTCACTGTTCTTTGAACAGTAGTGAAACTCATGGTTAATTGATTAAGCATTGCAGTAAGGTTTTTTATAATGCTTGCAGAGGTCTTCATCTATTAGTCAAATATTCTGTCTTTTTTGAGGATACTACAGTTTTTGAGTTACAGGAATCATAGAATCATAGAATCATAGAATCATAGAATGCAGAAGGTTGGAAGGGACCTCAGAGGTCATCGAGTCCAACCCCCCTGCTCACGCAGGGTCACCTAGAGCACGTGGCACAGGGCTGCATCCAAGCGGGTTTTAAAGATCTCCAAAGAAGGAGACTCCACAACCTCTCTGGGCAGCCTGTTCCAGTGCTTTGTCACCCTCACAGTGAAGAAATGCTTCCTTAAGTTCCTGTGGAACTTCTGATGCTTCAGTTTGAAGCCATTTCCTCTAGCCCTATCCCTGCCCACCACTGAAAAGAGGCCGCCCCCCTCCTCCTCACTGCCTCCCTTGAGGTATTTATACACGCTGATCAGGTCACCCCTCAGCCTCCTCTTCTCCAGGCTGAACAGACCCAGCTCCCTCAGCCTTTGCTCACAGGGCAGATGTTCCAGGCCTCTGATCATCCTGGTAGCCCTGCGCTGGACTCTCTCCAGCAGCTCCACATCCCTCTTGTACTGGGGAGCCCAGAACTGGACGCAGTGCTCCAGATGTGGCCTCACCAGGGCTGAGTAGAGGGGGATGATCACTTCCCTCGACCTGCTGGAGACGCTCTTCTTAATGCACCCCAGGATCCCGTTGGCCTTCTTGGCCACCAGGGCACACTGCTGCCTCATGGTCAACTTGTCGTCCACCATGACACCCAGGTCCCTCTCTGCAGGGCTGCTCTCCAGCAGGTCCACCCCTAATCTGTACTGGTGTCCAGGGTTATTCCTCCCCAAGTGCAGGACCCTGCACTTGCCCCTGTTGAACTTCATGAGGTTTCTCGCCGCCCAGTCCTCCAGTCTGTCCAGGTCCCTCTGGATGGCAGCACAGCCCTCAGGGCTATCAGCTACTCCTCCCAGTTTGGTATCGTCGGCAAACTTGCTGAGGGAGCACTCCCGCCCTTCATCCAGGTCGTTAATGAATAAGTTGAACAGGACCGGACCGAGAACTGACCCCTGGGGGACACCACTAAGTACAGGCCTCCAGCTGGACTCCGCACCATTGACAACCACTCTCTGCACCCTGCCATCGAGCCAATTCCTAATCCACCTCCCCGTCCACACATCTATCCCACACCTTTAGAGCTTGCCCAGGAGGATGCTGTGAGGATGTCAATGGCATATATGCTGTAGACACTGATTACAATATTCATTATTTTTCTGTTGCTTCTTCTAAACTGTCAATCACACTTATTCAATTTCCTGCAGATCCTCCCCCCCACGCATACCCCAAGTTAGTATTCTTAACACATTAATTCAGATTTTATATCTTGGAGGCAATTACTTTGTTTATTGAGAATCAATGTTGTGCTCACAACAAACTTAGTTGTGGAGAAATATGTTTATTTTTATTCCCCTCCCTGCCATCTCTACAGTTTTATAAGCATTTATTGCTTCTAATACCTTCATTTAAACCCATTTTTGTTGTAGAAATTCACATTTGTAAAACAAGACGTACAGCACTTCTGTGTGCAGATTATTACTGCTGCAGCCCCTGTTGTACGCTGCCAAGACTCTGTCTGCAACAGTCAGTGGGGCTGGGGCTTGGGGCCCTTGCAAATTCCATTATGACAGGCAGAGCACCCACTTTTAGTCTGGTTTCCTGAAAGGACTGAGCTCATGCAGCTGAGTTCTTATCACTTTTACATTGGTAACTTGAGGACCTTTGGGCTATTTTCAGGCCAATTTGAGAGTATTCAGAAGTCTCAAAGATTCTTTTAATTCCTGCAAGTGCCCGCTGGTTAGCAAAGACCCAGTTGCCCTGAAGAAAGAGCAGAATTTGTCTGTTGCTTCTTTATCACAGGCTTTGGCTTCCTTTTATTCGCAGTGCTAAGCACTGCTTGCCTAGCTAAGAGATATCGTAAGGAACAGAGCAAAATGCAGAAGAGCAGGGTTTGTCCTCGTGGAGTGGAGCAAGGGGAAAACAGATTTCATTTGCTGATTCGCTAAAAGAGCAATTTCAGTGAATGCAGTAGCAGTAGTGAATGCAGTGTGTCTGGGGCATTTTCTCTCCATCATGGTTTTGTAGACAGAGATCCCACTATGATGCTGCTCGACTCCTTTTTCCAGGGAAGCCTCTGGTAACCAGTTGCAGTTCTAACATGTTGCCTCTTTAAAAGTGCTTTTTTAATGCACTATAGTAAGTTTTCACTTGTAACTTGCTCTGACATCCTAAGAGAGTTGAATTGCTTCTTAAGGTCGACTATATGTACTACATATCTGCAATTTAATCATGTCGCCTTTAGCTTGCAGTAAAATTACTTTTTGCAGCTTCATAGGATTTTAGAACAGGGTAGCTCATGCACGTTATCTAGTGAAGATGATCTTTTATGGAAGTGAAGGTTACAGTTCGATCAAGTGAAATAACTATAACAATAGGGCAATTTAAATTCACATATAATTGTTTTTCAGACAAAAATTGGTTTTAAAATTCTCTTGAGATTTCAGACTTTGTTCTTGAAGTTCTTTTCCAAAATGAATGCTTGAAAAAGGTTTCATTCATGGTTAGTCCTTGCTGAAGCTCATAGATTGTAACTAATATGTGTGATTGCTTTAAAATAACCATTTTAACTCCTTAATAATCTCAGCATTTCCAAATAATTAAAAGAACAGCACAAATCTTGTTAATAAGAGCAGATTGTGCTTCTCCCACATGAAATCCGAGAAAGTCTGATGCTTTCTTCCTTGCAGAGGAGGGTTTAGTAAATGTAGAAGAAAAGAAGGCTTTTATTAAAAAAAAAAAAAAAAATTGAAAAACTGTGCTGCAGCCTTGCTACAGCAATGACTCGTGAAACAACACAACAGATGTGAATTCAGCTCTTCAGTCATCATGGTGCTTATTTACTCCTGAAATGCTTTTAGGAGCATTTTACTACCAGCAGTTAATGGCTTCATTGCTTTGCAATGAACTGTTTCATTGAGCAGAAACTCCTCACTCTAAGCATCCAACTTCCAGAAATAAAAACCTTTAAAAATGAATGATTTTGTATGTGTTGTACATAATCATATATATATGTATATATGATATATATAGCAATAGAGAGAGACTTCCTCTCTCTATATATAGTTGATATATAAATTTCCTATTAGACCACACAGAAAACTGGCATCTTTAGTGTATTAATAAGGTTGTCACTGGGATAGTGAAGTATGTAGCTAGTGTGGAAAAGATGTTGTCCTCGGAGAAGCTGTAATATATTTACAATCATCTTGAAATTATACTGTAATGAATTGTTAATTAGTCAGTGCTAGATAGGATATTTTCTCATAAATAGAGAAAGAAAATAAACAGGAGTGATAAAAGTGAAAAAGGCACTGAGGGGCTCAATCTTTGATGTAATTATCATAGTGAGACATACAAAAACACATCCGTTTTATAAGAGGAAAAAATAGGCGATATTTAGAGAAGTCCAAGCCAAGATTCAAAATCCAGAATGCGAAATATCATTAGGATTCTGAGTGCTGTAGTAACTAACACCTTGAATGTGTTGGATCCGAGTGTGGAACTTTAATTGTTCAGTGTTAGATACCTACACTCCTTTCCTCTAGGTAGGAGAGATGTAGGTCAAGAAATTATTCATGCATCTCGGTCCTCCTCCTGGGGGAGAGAATCATAGAATCATAGAATGCCCAAGGTTGGAAGGGACCTCAGAGGTCATCTAGTCCAACCCCCCTGCTCAGGTAGGGTCACCTAGAGCATGTGGCTTTCCCTCCTGTGTTCTTCCCTGCTTGTGTATTTGCTCAGAGTCTCCTGTCTGTGGCTCTGCTGAAGTGAACTCGGAAGTAGATCCATATGACAGCCTAGGAAGAGGAAAGGATTTGAATCTTGCCCTTGCCAGTCACTGGGTAATCTTTGTAAACAGTCTGTGAGTCTACAGCTTTCCTCCTGTGCAGATCTTTCATGCTCTCTTTATGGACCATGGAAACTGAATCCCTCCTTCCTTTGCTCCCTTATGAAATAGAAAATTGGTTTGTAACTTCGTGGCTGGAAGAGGTGAGAGCTGCAGGTTACGGAGTTGAGTCCCTTCAAGTAAGGGGAGGACCGCGATTTGCCTCTGCCTTGCCTTGCCTAGGTGCTTTGTTACAGGCTCATGGCAAATAGCACTGCTGCGATTGCCTTCTGTATTGGACGAAAGTGGTGACTGCCCCGAGCTTTGTGCAGAGTGCAAACGTGCCGAGTGGGGCTGGCAGCGGTTGCAGTCACAGTACCGGCTGGGAAAGCACTGCCTTTCGCTCCTGGCCTTTCCCTCCTCTGTACAACATTGTGTTACTTCTAGTTAGAGCTGCACAAGTGTTTGTGGCGACCATAATCTTCATCAGGTCCCTGATATCATGTGGATTAAAAGTATTTTGGGTTTAATGATCAATTGAGGAAATTGGATTAAAATATGATACAACAAAAACATATGTTGGTACTATTGAGAATGCTATAAAGTGGTGCGGGGAGCAAGAATTTCCTAGGTATTTTCTTGTTGAGTAGCACCTTGTTTGCTCCACTTGTGTTTCTTTTGCAGGATTGCTGGTATAAAGAAGTGCTTTCCTATGTACTTGCTCAGGAAATGCCTTCAGTTTTGCTAACATAGTTTTTTTTTTTTTTTTTTTTTTAAGTTTCAAAGTGAATCAGATCAAAGAATTGATATGTTAGGAAGGAAACTCTGTTTTAATTTTTCAATTTCAAGTTGGTTCTAGCCAACTTGGGCTGTGGTGCAAAACTTTATACTATGTGATGGGAGAGGGACAAATCCTTACTACATCCTTCCATCACTCTTGTACTTTGCAGGGTCCGTTCCATCATTTGACACCATTATTGGTATGATTTCTGGAGTGGTCTTTGTGTTCTCTGGTTGTGGAGAACATTCGACCTGTTTTCAGAGGTTAGGATTCATTTTGGAGAAACAAAGACTGAATGTGAAGGAAAAAAAAAAAAAAAAAGCAAGAGAATATATATAAACACTTTTTTTAACTTCAATTTTAAAAGAACAGGAGGTTTTTTTTTCCCTTTTAGCATCTAAATATAGGTTTGCTGCACTTTAATATTGTCTGCAGTAAGGTTTGTGTTTTTGCCTTCAGCAGAACCTCCAACAGCAGTCATACCTTGTCATCTTGCCACACTATGGAGCCCTGTACATCAGATGAATTTTTTCAGGCTCTCAACCATGCTGAACAAACTTTTAAGAAGATGGAGAACTATCTCAGACATAAACAACTGTGTGATGTGGTATTAGTTGCTGGTGATCGTAGAATACCGGCTCACAGGTAACTTTCTTACAGTTCAAAGTAGCTTAATGTTGGTTTCCAAATATATGTTGTAGCATGGGTCCTCTGTTTTGTGGAACTGTGAATATGTTGTAAGAACTGAAAGATTTTGTTGACATGGGGTAAATATAATGTTCTCTGTACTAAAAAGGTACCAATGGGCTTACTACCACTTTCTCATATATTTATGGGGTTGTTGCTCCTCCAGTTTCTACTAATGTGTCTTATTTCTTTATTGAGAAAGGAGCAGTACGTTTAGTGGCTGCTGTAAGTAAAAATAGTATATTACTGTGAAACACTGTAAGTTCTTGGTTTAAAACTATCAAAAGAGTTAAATTATTATGAATCTTATTACAAGTAGCAGATTAGGGTATTATATGTAGCCATGATTTTTCTAAATATGAGATCTCTTAATATTGTTGATCACCTTCTGCTCTGAAGTTACTTGAGTAACTTGTAGGAAAACTTAAGTAGGAAAAGAGACAGTTCTGCGCAGTGAAAAAATGTGGTGTATGCCTGCTCCCCTAGCCTTCAATTACATAAACAAATATTGCTGGAATGTTAGTTTTATTGCATTAAGCTAGTTGCTATATCAATAAATGTTTTTTAAAAAAAATTTTGATTTGTAATAACTCTACTGATCATAATATTCATTTAAGAAATGGGAAGCCTGGTTAAATCTATGGCCTGATGGGTTCAAATCCCGTTCCTCATTTGTTAGCCAGCAACCCAAAAGTCCAGAAACAGAAATAATGAAGATTTGAGACTGAAGGAAAGAAAGCAAAAGGGAGCATTTGAATTCTGATGGCAAGGAAGCTTGTTTGGAAGGGCATGAATTCTGATTTACAGACTGTATTTTTTTTTGTGCCCAATTTCCATATGACTTAGAATTCTTTCTTTTATGCTTCTGTGTTGTCTGTTTAGTTTGTATGTTCTTCACTACAGTCTGTTTTAACTGAATGTTTATACAAGCTTAGCATAAAGTGTATTTATAAAAAGGAAATTGTTTTCAAAAAGTAATTTTCTGTGCTAACATTATACCAAACACATCTATTGCTACTACTCTTATGATTGTTTTGAAAATTATGCTAAAGGACTTAGTGTAATCATTACTCCAGAGCGAAAGAACAGAAAAATTATGGAAGGTTTGATTTCCTTGTAAGAAAGATATAATTTGAAATTACTTTTAGCATAAATATACTTTATACTGTGTTTTTGAAATTGCTTACCTTTAAGCAAAATTCAAATATATAAAAATATATTAGTAATATGGAATAGTGCCACTTTGATATGTGTTTTTTATTACTTGGCATGAAAAATAGAAACTAGCTGAAGCTATCAGTGTGCAAGGCTTCATGTTAAAGGCAAGAATTATCAAAGAACTATTCGTCATCATCATCTTGCAGCTTCGGTGAATGCTGGAAGGGTCTTGCTAAGCTCCCTAGGACCTTTACTGGCTGTTATGCATCCAGAAACCAGGAACTGTCCCTTTTATCTCCAAGATGTTAAGAGACTTCATTTCATTCTGCCAAGAGGTGAATCCTGATTGGAGATACTAGATCTGTAAAGTGTCAGCTTTGACAGCTATCATCATTTCACCTAATAATTGTTTTGAAGATTCATGCAAAGGTCTAGATAATGCAGCTCTTGGCTATCCCCTGAAGTAGCACAACTGAATCCAAGTGCACTACCCTGCTTACTTTGCTGGTAAGTATCAGAGAAATTGGAAAGCTCATCTCCCTAAAGCCAGCTAAGCTGCCTGGTGGCTCTTTCTATGTCTTTGATCAGGAGGAATCACAGAATTTAAAGACATCAGTAGCATTACAACCCCCTATAAAAACAGGGAGGCATACTAAAACACAGGTTTTATTTTTCAGTGTTTAGCCCATAGCAGTGTCTTTTTTTTTTTTCTCCAGAGCGATTGCTTGTTCAAACATATTGTTGTCTTTGAGATGAAAAATTGCTACATCTCTATGTTCCTCTTTCTCTAAATTTTCCAGTGTTCTGAAAAAAAAAAAAAAAAAAAAGTCAATCTACTGCAATTAATACAGTAGCTGAGTTTCTGTAAACATAGTCTATGCCAAATTGAAGACTTGGCAGTGTCTGGTGATTAATAAGAGAGCAAAGGAAAAATATGTTCTACAACTAAGGGGATATGGTGCCAATTGTATCTAGACATTTTTTTTCTTGCTACTTTAGAGGCCTCTCTAATCTCAGTACATGTTGATTTGCTTGGATATTATAGGCCTTTTAATTAGGCTAATTATAAAATAATTGTTATTTTCAGTGGGGAGGGAAATAAACTCGGAAACCGCCATATTTTTAGTATATTATACTGAGGAAAGTTGGTATTTTGTAGCAAGTTTAGTTTTAAGTGAATTCTTGATACGAGCAAATATGGTTGCTGATTAATAATTAGTACAGAGAGAATCTGTTTCTCTTGCATACAGAGTAATCACTTACAAATGCTGGCTCAGTTTAAAAGTGGAATTGTAAATGATACTATTTAAAATTGGTGTAGTTTTTATAATCATACAGCACAGGCTTTTCTTCTGAAAGATCATACCTGTCACTTTAGGTCTTTCAGAGCTTTTTATCAGATATGGATGGGGAAAATCTTCAATGGATTCTGCAGTTAGAAGAATATGGCTACTTCACATCATATGATTTGTATGTAGCAATGCAGTTTATTTTAAGACAATTCAAAAGCAGAGGTTGAAAGAAAAATCTGTTGCTAGCAGTGAAATTAAAAATTCAGTGAACAAGCTGGTGTCAAATGGCACGACTGAAGTAGTAATTGATTTTTATTAAGAATTGATTTTTGTTTCTAGTGGGAAAAACTGAAAGGGCAGTTGGCTGGAAGCCATCCTTTGTTGTATTTTTTCAGTAGCTTGCTGTCACCTTGCTACTTTGTCCCTGGGTCTTTAAATCCCTTTTCTTTCTTTGAAAGAGTTTTTTTCCTGAGTGGGTCAAATTAAGAAGAAAAAGATAGCGCTGTCTATTTTAGGACTTGCCATTGTGAACATGTTTCTTGGCTAAAGATATAATAAAAATTTTTATCAGTACAACTTGTGCTTTGGCACGTGGCTTGTATTAATCTTCTTGTGGGCTGCATGGGCTGTTTTGATGTATGAGAGTGACTCTGGAAAGCACTTAATGCTGTGAAGTGCATTTACTTTCTCCTGAATCGGAATACAGCTTTGCGTACTATATGACAAGGATTGCATCTTGAAGCTCTCACAACTTGTTCTGAAGTAATTCAAGTTTGGAATCTACACAATGAAATTTTTCAGTACCAGCAGAGCTGCTCGAGGGTCTGGATACCCAAGTTATGGTTTGTAATTCCTGCAATAGCTCTTCTAAGATGTATCTAGTTATTTGCTAAATAGTGGTGCAGCTAAGCAAGAGTTGTACAATTACAAAAGCAAATAAGAACTGTGCTAAGATTAGATTTTAGATTCGGTTTCCCGTGACAATTACCTATCCGTCTTTGTCATGCTCTGTATTACATAGTCACATCAGTATCTCTGACATTAAATATTTTAAGTAGTTTGAAGTTTTCTTCTATTCTGTATCAGAGTTGTGAAGATGCCAGGGTTGTTCAAATCCTGTTATATTTACACACCCTTTCTTCCAGGAAGGCTGCATGTATAAATCTGATCTGGTCATCTCATTCAAGCAGCAAAATAAATTGCAGAAATTTTCCCTTGGCATTTAGATGAATTTATTCTCCAATCTCACTAAATTTCTACAGTTCTCAAGAGGCTGTATTTTGAATCAACTGGAAGTGTTTTTAAACTGGAGATTAAAATGCTGAGGGCCGATGCTGGTTTGGTATCCTGACTAAATGTTCTATTTCCTCTGAGAATGAGCCATAGAAGAAATCTCAAAAGAACAAAACTATTTCTCATTACAAATTTTTATTTCAATTCAACAAGCTTAAAAAAAAAAGTTTTCATATCTAGTCATATGTATCTTTGTTGCCTCAGCAGCTAGAGAAAAGGATTACTGCAGGCCTGACCCAAAAGGTGGAAATGGTCGATGGTCAGAAGATGTGAAAGCATGAAAAAGTGAAAAAATGCACTGCTTGGCTCTTAACATGACTTAACATGCTGCACATTTATGCACATCTGAGATTTGGCTCTAAGTAGTGCTGCTCATTTTTCCAACGGGACCGTGAACTAATTTTGTTCTGCTGCGGGGGTTCGGTTGTGGCCCCCAAGCCCGGCTGCCTCAGCCGGCCGGTGTGAGGGTGCGGCACGGGACCTGCTGCACTCCCCTGCAGCCACGGCTTCCCAGCGCCTGTGCGGGGGAGAGTGGAGGTCTCCTTCCTCTCTCTTGCACCTTGTCCTGTAAGCACATACTGAGACTTCTTATTTTTCTAAACACTGTGTGCAGTGCCATTGTTATATAGACTCAATGTTTCTCTTTCCATGATTTAAAAAAAAAAATCTGTTGAACACCAGCATGTTTTCTTATTCAGTATCTTAAATTTCTCAGAATTGTTAATAAAATGCTGCATGCACACAAAAGAGATTGCCATGTAAATGATTTCATGTGGATCACTTTTTTTTTCTGCTTATATTTATGCTGTGTGTGCTACTCCCAACTTTACTGTGCCTTGTTCTGGTATCAGGATTTGGAAATGAATGAATGTGTGCGCACCAAGAGTAAAATCATTTTCAAGCCCTGAAAAAGGACAATTCAATTCTTATATTAAAAAAGTAACTGATATAAATGGAAGTCAACTAAAAATACTTTTGCTTTCATTATATTTGTATTCCATTTCAGAGTATGTATTTTTGTTGCTATTTTTGTGTTTACTATTAACTGTTACTGATCTTTGAAACAGTAAAGTATTTACTTCAGCAGCAAATGTAGTTTCAGTAACAGTACTTCATTACTCATAGAGGAACTGGAAAATGAAGCAGTTTGTCAACTTTAGAATGTTTTTCTCAGTACAACATTTCTTCAAAGAACAAAATAATGAAGCATAAATTAACAAATATCAGATTGACTAAGCTTTTTTTTTTTTTTCTTTTTCTCTTTTTTTCTTCTTTCCCTCCTCACCCTCTCCTTGTCTTCCTCCATTTCTCCCACATTATATACCCAGATTGGTTCTTTCCTCTGTTTCCGACTACTTTGCAGCAATGTTTACTAATGATGTAAGGGAAGCAAGACAAGAAGAAATCAAGATGGAAGGTGTGGAGCCAAATGCATTGTGGGCTCTGGTTCAATATGCATATACAGGTAATTAAATTGGGAAAAACGTAATGATTTGCCTCCTCTGAGCATTATAATCCATTACTAGATTTCAGATGCTTTTTTAAACTATTTATGTGATTTTACCTCCATTTATTAAAAAGCTATCATCACTGCTCTTACCTGAGGCAACCTGGTTTGGATGTATTTTCTCTAATTAGCTGAGTATTTCAGATGCGTTATGACTGATAAAGAAATTTTATTAAGATTCCATTTTCTTTCATCATTATAGATACTAATTTTGAAAAGGTGGTTATCTGTGCTGGGAGTGAAGTTTGCCAAACCCTGTGATCTTGTATATTATTCTGTTGCATGTGAATTTTGAGAGTTTGACAATGATGACAGTGAAAATAATGTGATCTGTTCTTTTTTGTTACTGCTTCTAGGTCGTCTTGAATTAAAAGAAGACAACATTGAGTGCCTCTTGTCTACAGCTTGCCTTCTTCAGCTCTCTCAGGTTGTGGAAGCCTGCTGCAAATTCCTAATGAAGCAGCTTCACCCGTCCAACTGCCTTGGAATCCGATCTTTTGCTGATGCACAGGGTTGCACTGACTTGCACAAGGTGGCTCACAATTACACTATGGTATGTCCTTATTTTAAGCATCATCTCCTTTTTATAGTAAGAAAAATATAGGATGTCAGCCTGAATAAAATGCTATTTTTTTCCTCCAGAAAACCATGAACACTTTCCAAGCAAGAACACATGTTTATCCCCATGCTGGGAAATGACAAAATAATAATAAAGTTGCTGGTTTAGAGCTGGAAGAAAATAGGCATGCATTTACAGTTCCTTAGCCGTAATGGGATTGTGTGATATGCTTTCAATAAAATCACTCCAAAGCTAGTTCTTATTTCTGGCAGTTGGAAACTACAAATGCAGCAATGGGCAAGCTGCCATTAGCTAGTCCAAATTCAGACACTAAAAAAAGAAAAATAAACATACTCTTCCTTTCAGTAAGGAACTGCAGAAATCAGGTTCTGAGTTGCATGTGGATATTTGTCAGTATAGGTTCTGTTTTATCATTAGTCTCTTAGTAATGTGGCATCAGCAAGGCATCAAAGAATATGATCTTGGGCTATCCAGTGCAGGACTAGCTACAAATTTGCCAGAGATATTTTTATGAGTTTGTTTAGAGAAAGACTGACCTACTGATTAATAAATCTCATTTTTTTTAAGACCCGTCCTTTATTTTTCCCAGCCATTTAAAGCCATTCCCTAATTTAAAATGTCCTTCTCAATTTTCCTTCTCAAAAGAACATTTTTAGTAAAGTCATCAGAAGAAATCAGGGGGAATATCTCTAAGGCAAGTCAGTTTATCCATTCTTTGCAGAGGTTTGCAAGGTATTTTTCTGTTTTCCTAATGAAATTTCACCTGCCTGCTTGAGCTCTTGAGGCCTAAACTAGGGCATGTAGATATTGCCAAGGAGACGTGGGAATTAAGATGGTGCTTAATTTGCTTGTATGGCATTGCATTGCATTGCCATTACATTTTTTGGCTTAGATCCAAGCAGTGTAATCTTCTGTCTTCTAATTACAATTAGAAATCCATGGGTTGTCCTCTTACTTGCTGAATGTTTGCTGATTTAGAAACTGCAGGGGTGGGGTGGGTTTTTTCTATTTTGTTTTTGATTCCTCTTGGCTTAAAATAACTTAGTTTAGTGTGTAAGCAGTTAAAAGTAGCTCTTTTTGTGTTATGATATCATGTTCTTTAGTGATGGCTGGATCTCTGTTCTGTTTGGAATTGATATTGTGCTGAAGTTTACCAGTCAGTAAATTATATTCAGTTTGTAATTGAATCGTTCTGTTCTTGACCTTCATTATTTCTCAGTCGGAGATGAGGAGAGACCACAAGTAGATATAGTCAAATGAAGCGGTAAAGATGAATGTGTTTTATACTTTCATGGAATATTAGAAGTAATATTGAAAGAGATTGTAATAAAAAAGAGAGCTTCCTTCCTTTGACCAGTCTGTTACTCTTTCTCAGATGAGCATGTTCTGCTCAGTGTTATGTCTCTTAAACTATATCAGTGGAATAAGAAGATCAGTACAGTAGCAAAAGTTAGACATTGTAAAAAGCAAGTGCTAAAGATTTTCTTTTGGCCTGCAACTCCTGAAATTTATGGGAGAAGGTGGTGTTGAACTTTGATAGTTATTCTGTTATGACACCTTGTCTTCCTTCTGTTCAGACCACAGGAAAATAGTTTTGTGCCTTTTGACCATTGTTTACTTCAGGGGCAAATTTGTTGCCCTTAAGGCTTTGATGTGAATGAAATTTAAATTAGTTGGATTTTAAAAGCCATTTTCAAAACTAATTAGTTGTGCTAGATGAATTCTTCCCAAGGCCTCTTTTAATGTTCCAACAGAGACATGAAACTGAATTTTACTAATGATGAGTAATAGAAGCAGCTTCCTTAGTTTGAAACGAATGTTGCTATAGAAACTGCATAGAAACATCGTCCAATTGAATCTTCAAGTAAAATAAACCCCAAGCAATTTCATTTGTTTGAGCTGTTTGAAAGTAGTTGTTTAACAGTAATAAATGTTAGCTACTTGATGCTCTTCCCATTAACAAGTATCAGAGCATAAGGGTTGAGCACACCTGTAGCACCTGTAAATTCTGTTTAAAACCATGAATGACCTATAGGCTGCACATAATTGGAGTTTATGATGAATAATACATATTTTACATTATTTCCACGTAACTTTGTCCCACTTAAAATAATAGAAATTGAAGATAATTAATGATATATTTTAATCTGCATATATTATTTTCTATGACTTTCTTTTTTCCTCTGACAAAATGAAGAACTTTTCAAGGTTGTCAAAGTAGGTCACTTTTTTGACACTGCAAATTTAGTAAAGTTTGAAAAATTCTTAGGATGCATTAAATTAAACATGAAATCATAGAGGCAAATGATTATGGATACAATGCTGTATGAAGAGCTACTATGTACTTGATTTTTTAGGAATCAAGGATGTAAAATACAGTTGGCAGAATCATGATATGTGTCTGAGTAAAGATATCTTTTACATCAAGGCTATCCTGTTTGCTTTTTTGCTGGGGTTGTATAAGTATGAATTTAAATATTTAATAGACTAGCCAGAAGTGTGTCCATTCACTTGAATTCATAAAGCCTTATCACACATAGGACTTTCCGCTGCATTTTTTTTTTTTCTTTTGCCCTCTAACATAATACCTACTGATGAACTTAAGTTGTCTTCATTACCGTCAAAAGAAACATCTATTTTGATATCTTTTTTGCTTGAGAACAATTGATAGTTTACCTCGGAGAGCTTAGGAAAAACTTGAGCTTGCTTTTCCGTGAAGGAAAATGAAAATTTCAGATGAGAAAAAGTTAACCCGTGCTATTTTCAGAACTTGAAATATCAGAGTGAGCAGGGAGATAAGCATCAGCAGCTTTTGCTGTAGCTGGATTTTGAACTTTTGTTACTTAGAATCAATACAGATTTGCCAAACGTAAAATGTGATAGCGCCTGACTCAGTCCCTAATTAGACAGCTTTATAATCTTTGTGGTTGTGCTTTAAAGCAGAAGAGTCGTGCTGGTTTTCATCAGAACTCTTCAGAAATACGTGAGCAAGGATCCAAATGTTACCCGATTCAGATAATGCTGATTTAGTAGTTTCCGTGATTTCTCAGCGTGAGCAATGGCCCTTTGCAAGAAGAAAGGCTTGAAGAAGAGGCCAGCCACAGGAGCTAGGAGATCTGCACAAGAACAGACTGGTGTGGGACCTGCTTTCTCTTGTAGAGCAGGAGTTGAGCGCAAAATCATGACAATACGGAGTTTATAATTTGGGAGGATGAAGCAGAGGAGAATTTTTTTAATATACTTTTATTATATAGGGATGTCCAGGAAAGTGTTGAAAATTTTCAGTATTTTCATCCACAAAGGGCCAGATTCAAAGGCCATGTTAATGTACAAAATAACAATTTTATATTCCTGCTCCCGAAATTGCACTCTAAAATACTGGAGATCAGTGATCTTTGACTTTGAAAGTACTCATTCACTTTTTTTCACCTTTGAGAACTCTCAAGTTACTTTTGGCTCTGTACAGTCCTGCCTGCCAGTAAAGGTCATTGCCACTTTGCTGTGACTTAAAGAGGTTCCTGGATGCTCCCTAGGCCGTTTAGGAATACAGAAGTTTCACAACAAGGAGGCAAGCTGCAGCCCACACCCAGGCTAGCACCCACCAAGAGCCATGGGCTGGTTTATAGCTAAGCTCAGCAGCCAAGGCTGACCTAAAGGGAATGGCTGTTGTCTGATGTTCATCTGACCTTACTGGTTTCCTAGGAGCTCAAAGATGCTCTTAGCAAATGTAGAGATAAATCAGGCAGCTGAGTGGTTGGAAGCTGTCAGAAGATGACAAAGTTGCACCTCCTGTTTGCTCTCCTTCAGCCCGGATGCGTTGCCCGTCTTTGGCAGAGCTCTATGGTTAAGAGCTTCCACTTGCTTTTCTGTCTACAGTTCTCAGCTTGTGGGTTTTCTGGTTACACTCAGATTCAAATCCTTTTGGTACTGAGAAGCCTAACCATCTAACTGGATTCCATTTTGGGAAATAACCACCACCTGAAAATGAGGATCATGGCCTGTATGTTTTATTTGTACCTGATTTTTTTTATTTTTATTTTTATTTTTTTACCTTCTACTGAGGCCAAGACAGAACTCTGATTGGGAATATCAGCATTATTCTCTGCAGCTGCTGGATGGGGTAGTGGGTAGAGCTGAGCTTTGATTTGTGAGATGCTGCTGTGGGTGGCTTTAGCTAGTGCATAAACCCAGGGCAAAGTCCTTCAGCTAATATTGAGGGAGGGAACTTTTTTTTTTTATCTCCCCACCCCCATTTTAACTTTTATCCCAAGAAAACAGGGGACTGAAGTTACAGGCGGTTTGTTCTCTGAAATATCCTATTCTTCCACAGAGAGTTCCCTTAAGAAGAAGCAAAGCAAAGTCTAAGGAGGAGGTTAAGAATGATAGGAGATGCACTGGCTCCTCCTTTTTGTCTTCAGAATCCCTGTCTGTAGAGGAAGAGGAACTGTCGGATTCTGATTATAAAAATTTCCAGACCTAGGCCTATGTGGCTCTGTTCCCACTGGAATGCTTTGATACTGTGCTTAAAAGGAGGCTCTGCTCTAAAAACGGAATGGGAGCAAGAGGAAGTTAAATTTGTTCCCATCAGAAAGCAATTGTCTGGAAATAATACGAAGGAAAATCAGGCTTTTTTTTAAACATACTACAGCTGTTGAAGAGGTTAAATCCTATTGAAAAAAGCTTTCTGGAGAAGATTCCTGAATGACTCATGCAAGATCGGCTCATCATTGCCTTCAGAAACAAAAGAAAACTTTCCATCCAGGTGCTTTCCCCTTCCTCTTCCTGTGAGGTGGATAGAAAATATGAAAGGTTTAAGGTAGTAAGTGTTGAGTTTTCTCTTTCTCAGCATGCGCTGCCGGTTTATTCAGCAAAACTAAATGCCCAGCTCCAGCATGCAATTGCCCTATGATAGACTTGACCAAAAAGAACAGCGAAAACAACTTGGTGGAACTGAGTTTCTTTTAACTGCATGTTTGAGCCCTGGAAATAATTTTGATTGTTCTCCACCTTCAATTTTGCTCCCAAGCATTCAATAACATGGTATTAAAGAGGGAAAAAAAAAAAATCACGCATGTGTGGTGGTGCTGTAATTAATACAGACTTCACTGTTTCTAATTCCTGTGTTTGCTCATTGTCTGAACTTCCATTTTGTAATACAGAGATAAAGAGGAAAAGGCAATTCTGTTTCCTTTCTGATCTCTTAATAGCTTTCACTCAAAAAGATTATGTCTGTAGTCAATTCGGAGCCCTTTATTAGGAAAGCGTTTCAAATATTAAACCTAAAATTTTCCTTTTGGATTCAGGAACATGCAGTCATGTCCGCAGGTAACATTTTCAATTTGTTCCCTGTGTTCAACTCCACAGTTATCTCTGATGTACAACACATGTAAAATGGACTGGTTTGCTACTTGTTTTTTCCTCTTTGCTCTACGTTCTTTAGTTTATTAGTATTTTGGGAATACTGAAGTACCTAACTTTGAATGAAATGATTAGACTAATAAAAAGAGGTATGACTTATTTGCTTTTCATCAATGTCTTGTGCATATGAAATGTCAAATTGTACTGTATGTTTTTGTTACTGTTTTATATTCTAAATTTGTACCTATTTTGCAGTGCAGGTTCTGCTTATACTCCCAGGCTTCTTATTTTCATTGGTGGTTTATTTTAATTTTTTTAATGTTGAAATCATATTTTTCCAGTATGTAGCTGCTTCTAATTTATTGGTTTTTCATTAGTGTGCAATTGTGTTTTGATATTGTTAAAGAAAATATTGATTGATTTAGTTTAGTTTAGATGTCATCTGTGGATCTAATGCCCTTCATCCTCCAGTATTGTTGAATAGCAAAACCAACATTCAGTTCAGCTATATATATTAGCACTATACTGAATGAATAATAATTTATTACCATAAAGTTGTTTTGAACCTGGAGGATGAGGCAATTGTTTTTTGAGCTGCCAAGGTATAAGAACATGTGATTCATAAAATGGTTTTACTTTGCTGCCTTGTAAAGGTGTATGTATGGGGAAAGAGGTTAGACATGATTTCACCCTTTTGTGTTATATTCCAAAAAATCAGTTTTCTCACCATAAGCACCTAGTGCTTATCATGTTTCTATATCCTTTTCTGATATTTTTGTCCCAGTTCATGAGAGTCCTTGCAGAATATTGTGCGATTCCTGGTATTTTGAAGTAATGTGATATAAATGTCAGAAATGTTGTATATGTATTTTCTGACTTTGAAGTAAGGATTTAGTGCTGGAAATGACAGAATGAAAACTAGAAGATTGAATCCTATCAAAATAAGTCTTGTTTATAAAGCGAGGTGTGTACAATATTGTGGATCCTTTGTCTCTTTTGCTCCCTTGTCAGTTTATCAGATCAGCTGTATAAAATCATTGAAATAGTAAAATAAACTTAAAAGAACCTTTTAAACATCAAAATGAAATTGTTAGTGTTGTTTATTTCCTCTGGAAACTTACAATATTTGTATTTTAGTATAGTAGTAATGAAAACTTACAAATACACTCAGGAGTAGTAGTATGTTGTACTCTTGGGAAAGCATCTTACATTGTATTGTCTGTATTATACATCAAGTGTAAGTAGTTCTATTCTTTCAACCATAATTTGGAAAGAATTTTTTCCAACTGCAGTGCTTATGTAGACAACTCCACAACCCATTGCTCGTGCAATTCCATGCATTTCTTCCCCAGATGTTTTGGCACATCTGCCTGTGGGGCTCTGTGATAAACAGAGTTGGGAAATTATCAGGGTTAAAAATAACTCCACGCAGATTTTTCTCTCCTAGGTCAGTTTACTGGCACAACTGAGAGGAATCATGAAGGAGGGATGAGTGGGAAGGATGCAACAGGGGCTCCCTAAAAGACTCTCTGCAAGTTATGTTATTGTATTAAAAATACTTTCCTTTTTTCAGGAAAATTTCATGGAAGTAATCAGAAACCAGGAATTCCTATTATTGCCAGCCACAGAAATTGCAAAGCTTTTAGCAAGTGATGATATGAATATTCCTAATGAAGAAACTATCCTGAATGCACTACTTACATGGGTTCGACATGATTTGGAACAGAGAAGGAAAGATCTCAGCAGACTTCTGGCTTACATTAGACTGCCTCTGCTTGCTCCACAGGTAGATCATTCTGTTGCTCTCCAGTTTATGCCGTGCTTATTGTGGGCATGCCTCCTGTATCTTGTCCTGTATCCCACGACAAATGGCAAGAGCTGGATTCAAGAAGATCTGCCATCTGTGAGGACACAAGAGCTCTGCTAGGAAGTTTTCCTGTCTTTGAGATTAGGAAACACAGTTTGAAGAAACTGAGTGATTTTTATTTATTTATTTATTTATTTATTTATTTATTTATTTATTTTATCCTTCCATAAGTCTTGGTAAAGCATCTTTAGGTACATTTTGTACTTACCAATCAATCAGTAGTTTTTTCTCCTTCCTGGGCAGTTCCATGTCTTGCTGAGGAAGACGGGAGCTCAGCTGGTGTTTAGATAATAGCTGTGCCTGATGACTTTTGTAGTCTCATGGGAACCGAACTGCTCTTGATAGTCATGTGTAACATGGTGGTTGCTGTGTGATAGCAGGCAGGTAACCTAAGCTTGATTTCATTGTGCTTGCTTTCCCTGCTGGACCTTAATTTATGATATTTAACACATATAAAGTTAAAGGACTTTGAGTTAGTTTTCAGTTTGTAAAGTAAGAATTACCTATATTAAATGAGAGAAAAAAATAGACTTTCTTTGAAACCTGAATAATAAGGAGACTTCATTCTGGAGTTTCCTGCATTCATAGAGATAAATGACAAATGCAATGTTCTCTTCATTGCCACCAGTCTCGTGTCTTCTTACTAACTAAAGGATTCACTAACATTTTAGTATTAATTTTTATATACTGATTATTCTATATGCAACAGCAGAATTTTCTCCTTTGAGATTCTGATTTTGGAACTTGCTTCTTCCAGAAATACAGTATAGCTTAAATTTGTTGACTTGCAGGAAACCACTGTTTTGCTCAGCATTTAATTAGTTGATGATTAAGTATAAAATTCTGTAACCACTTCATTATTTCCTTTAATTGACTGTAATTGAAACATTTTAGAAACTGAAAGAACAGAATTCATCCAAGAAATATGTAATGAAGTTAAATTAGCCCATTCAACAACTTATTAGGAAAATACCAGATCGAAACAGAAAAGCAGTGTTGTATTTATTACTTTCCTTTTCCATGTCTTCTCCTGTATTCTAGTATTTCTAGTTTTTCTAGTTTCATATTTTCCTTTTGTCTTTTTGTTGCTTCCTTTAACAAATGGAAGTGTTAAAGCTGTGATCTTTATAATGCACCAATTAGTAATTGAGTTGAAGTGCCCCAAACAATCTCAACGGTTTCAGAATTATGTTTTCCTTCATGACTGCATGATATAAAGCAATGCAACAGCAAACAGGATAATGAAAAGGTTTCCAATTTTATGGTTGGAGGGTCAAAGCTATTTGAGAGAAATGAGGTCAGAAAATTGAGCGACTTGCTGAAATCAATAATGATGTAAAGAGATATGTAAGGAATATTAGGTTAATACACTTGAAAAAATGGGGAAATACTATGAAACAGGCAGAAAAATATAACAAATCATTGTTTTTCTACCTTTTTTTGGCATGTCTTTGCACATGTTTTATTTTGTGTAATAACATTTCATCTCATACTAGAAGCATCCTAAACCTTTGATAAAATGGCAATTAATTCATCTCTGATAAACAGATGGAAAGGGTTATAAAGCATTTCATGAATTACTAGATGGGTTCAGTTTCATTAGAGGCAGAAAATACTTAGTACAATAATTTAGTCAGCACTAATAGTACTATTTAATTTAGTACTTGCATCTGATTTTACTTTTGCTCTTCATCAGGTTTCCAGTGAGTACAACTTCATGCTAATGTGTGTCATTTAGAAATGCTCATTTAGAAATGTTTTTAGTCCAAGTTGCTACATCAATAATACCTGAAAAATAGCAGCTATGATAAAGTCCAGTTTAGGATAGTAGTAAGTCACTGGTTCTCAAAACTGCATGCCAAGCTGCTGGCATTGCATCCTGACTGCGCAGTCGTTGGTTTGAGTTTGCAGTTTTGTGATCCTGAAGTGACATTATGAAATGGTCAAAGTAGGAAGTGGTCCTTGTTTCAAGAGAAAAATTAATGAGAAGTATGAAAAATATGAAAAATAATGAGTAATGACACTGAATGAATGGTGGGTTCCCACTGATAAGGTCAATAACATTTTACCTATGGTGTTTTACATAGAATCCAAACATTAACTGATTGTAGAAGTATTGAAAAAGCCAGGCAGAGTTGCTGTGAAAGTCTTTACTGAAGGAGTCTGTTTAATCTTTTTTTTTTTGAATTCTCTTTATGATGTTAATGATTTATGATGTTAATGGTTACAGGTGTTAGTTCTGTTTTCTGTCATTGTTTCTATGGGATTGCCTGGTGCAGAGAAGTTCAGGCTGAGCAGCAGGTCATTATCTGCACGTTCTGTGGAATCATCACGGGTGTGATCTTGGCAGCCTTCTTGAGCTGAAGCAGTTACCAGCCAGGGCTGTTCTCACACTGCAGTAGTGCTGCTGTTTCCTCATCAGTTCCTCAGTAATCCTGATGCTTAAATGTCACAGCATTTTTGTACCTCATTGGTGGGCAGCCGATAGTCACGATGTCCTTGAATTTTGTGATGGCAAATGTGAGACATTTGCCCCTTTCTAGGTGTTCTCTTAACAGTCCAAAGTCCACTCTGGGACATTACAATCCAATCTAGCCTTTCTAATGATGGCAGTTGGGACAGTTATCCTGGTATTTTGCCTATAGTCTGACAATTATGGAATATAAAAGCCCCCAGAATCTTTTCATTTAAAAAATGTTAATAGTAGTCTTTATTCAGTTTGTATTTTATTTAAATCAATTTTAAATTTAGCATTTATTCAAATTTGCTAGCATTTATGATCTTATATGTCCAAAGGTAGGTAATAATTGATACCATATTGCAGATCATTGATTGAGTCAAGAATAGGATCTATATTAAAATTTGTAGCCTGTTTATGAAGTGTCTTTTATAGGCATCTGGATTAGGATCAGCCAGGTTAAACTGAGCTACGTATCTGGATTTGGGTTCCCTTTTTAAACGTGCTTGCAATGGCACCGGAACCTTAGGAGATTCAGTTTTCTTCTTTTAGAGTATTACAGGTAAATTATCCGTTAAATTATGGCCTTCTCTCTCCATCTCTCCCACCTTGCCTTTATTTTTTGTGGGTAATGATCTGGCTTAATGTTTTGTTCATAATTTTATTACTAGTTGGTCTTTACACTTACTCATATGACTTCTTTGAAATATAGCTATTATATATATAATATGTATATTTAAATTAGTACAAATTTCTAGGTCTTTTCTTGTGATTTTATTCTTGTGATTCATAGCAGCTCAGCTTCTTTAATTTTCTTTTCTTTCTTTTTCCACAGTTTCTGGCAGATATGGAAAATAATGCACTCTTTAGGGATGACATTGAATGTCAAAAACTCATTATGGAAGCAATGAAGTACCATCTGTTGCCAGAGAGACGACCTATGTTACAAAGTCCTCGCACCAAACCCAGAAAATCTACAGTGGGGGTGTTGTTTGCAGTTGGAGGAATGGATGCAACAAAAGGTATTGATTTAGATAATGAATAGCTGATGAGATTTTTTTTTAAAAAAAGAAATTTTGATAAATCTTGACCTAGCATATCAATTATAAAGTTAAAAGATTCTACAGTACCAAAAATGTACACCGTTTATAAGGTTAAAAAATAGATAGCATTGGTAATTTTATAAGCACTCTGGAAACTTATGTTTATTATTGATTTTGAAATCAGAGACTATCTGATTTCTCTGTAGTGAAATGTTAAACTAAATGAAAATTCATCTTTATTTGCATGAAAGAGAAGCAATATGGAAAAGGAAGAAAATGACACAAAATACAAATACAGTAGTGCATATATAAAAGCAAAAAAAAAATAGTTTTTTAACCAATTTCTAGAGGGTTCTGTCAGAACTACTCCTGTATATATATATTTTTTTCCCCACAGAAGCTTCTATACTGTAAATATAATGATAGTTAAAGCAATCTGGTATGCGTACCCATAAAACTAAGATCGCGCTGAAAGGCCTTACGGGATCAGCATATTGCTAAAATAAAAACTGCCCCAGTAACTCAGAGCAAACTTTTTTATAACTTACATGTGCTATCAATCAGGAGCTACGAGCATTGAAAAGTATGAACTGCGCACCAACATGTGGACCCCTGTAGCAAACATGAACGGACGAAGACTGCAGTTTGGAGTCGCAGTGCTAGATGATAAGTTGTATGTTGTTGGTGGTAGAGATGGGCTGAAAACACTGAATACTGTGGAGTGCTACAACCCTAGGACAAAAACTTGGAGTGTGATGCCACCTATGTCCACGCATCGGCATGGTCTTGGTACGTAGAGTTAAAGGTTAACTGTTTTCAAATTAGTTAGAAAAAATAAATAATTTGGGGGGAAAATATTAACTTTGTTTTAAATGCTGACCAGTTGTTTAACTATTTTTCCCTTTCATAGTATATCCACGATTGGCAGCTAAAATGAAATTTGAGATGTTATTGATTTAAAAAAAAATGTTTTTAATGTGTGCTGGGCTGTGGCTAACAGAATGTGATTTTTTTTTCTTTATCTAGAAGTTATCCATATGCTCTTCATATTCACATGCTATTCATATTTTTTGAAGGAGTAGCTGTATTGGAAGGTCCCATGTACGCTGTAGGAGGACATGATGGCTGGAGCTACCTGAACACCGTGGAAAGATGGGACCCCCAGGCTCGTCAGTGGAACTTTGTGGCTAGCATGTCAACCCCAAGGAGCACAGTTGGGGTAGCAATATTAAATGGAAAGTATGTGAAGGCAACTGCCATTTCCTTTTTCATTATTTTACTGGAATTGGAGAAATATCCTACCTTACTGTATTTTGCTTGACAGATGTATGTTTATCGCATAGTTTGTGTTTATAAAAGAGATACGATATTCAACCCACTGTCAGTAGTGCCTCTTAGTATCCCTTTTGAGAAACCAACTCTTCAGGGAGTTATTGAGGACATTAAAACAGGGTCAGTGTAGGAAGGACACTGCTTGTCACCAGCCCACACGTGAACTTCATACTACTGATCAAATCTTTTGAATCTAATAGTCCATCTAGTTTTCCAACAGTCTGTGTCCACTTAATGTAACCTATTAGGATTATTGTAGCAGTGGCAGAATATTTACACCCTCTCCCTCCAGCAATCTAACTGTGGCAGTCAAACCTAATCTAAATGCTGACTGTCGTGCTCAAGACCACCCTATTCCACTTCCTGCTCAGGGATCCCGTGTGGCAGTTGCTAAACCTCCCTTGAGCTGTTTGGGTATTGTCAGCTGGCAAAAAGCTTTGGTTGGTTGGTTGGTTGATGTTAAATGCATTTACAAAGGGTCCTATGAGATTTGGAAAAGTGCAGGAATGAATGGAAATGCTGGCCTGGGTGAGGAATGTGAACAACCAGCAAGCAGAATGGTTTTGGCTGCTGTGGACCTGCAGTCTCAGATGCCTAGTCTCAGTCCTATATATATATTTATATGTTATTACATATAATACTCAGGGAGATATAAATCACCAGAATTAGAGCCTCACGTTTCTCTCTTGGAGAGCTTCTCTGTTGAAGGACTCTTAACGTAGGCAGTAACACTAGATACCTATAGTACCTATAATATGAAGTGATTGCATTGCAGCAGTGGGACTAGTAATTCTGCACTTCTTAGTGATGCTGTGTCTGTAGCTAGTTATCTTTCAGGTGATTTGCTCAAAATCTCCATATACAGAAATGAAAATACCGCTTTCCACATCCTGAATGCTAATCACTGCCATCAGAAATCTGTCATGTTTTAGGGAGGCAAGAGGTTCATTTAAATGTAGTTTTGTACAAAGAGTTGGGTTTTAGCCATAAACTTTTTGGAACTGCCACACATTTTTCCAAGATACTTCATTCAGTACATTCCCTCACTTAAACAAGCTCTTCTTGAAACATGGATACTTCCATAAAAGTGTCTATTTTTTCAAGAGGATATTAAAACTATTAGTGAGAGCTATTAAGTCATCCATATTTACAACAGGTTTTCATTCAAGTCATTAAAAATCAGTAAAAAAGTATTTCTCAAAACTGAGAACATCTTGACTACTGCTTCATCATATACAGTAACTAATGAATATTTGATTATCTATCTGTACTATAATCTGCCTCAGGTCCTGCAGGGAATTCATCATTTCTCAAGCTAGACTTGATTTCTGATGTGTCATTTTCTTTTTAAAGTGCTTTCTGCATTACCTCTCCAAGTAAGTGCTAGGCATACAGTGTTTCTGCTTGTAAGTGTATAATGCTCCTAAACATCAAAATAACTGCCGAGAATTGATCAAGTTCACTTATCTGATTATTTTAAAGACTCCTGAGTCATGCAGTGTTATCAACTCCAGTCTTTCTTCTACCTTATTTTAAAAAAAAAAAAAAAAAAAAAAAGAGGAAAATAAAACTAAGAAATTCTGTTATTACAAAATGCTAGAAATGTTTTTAAGCTAAAGCTGAGCAAACTAGGCCACCTAGTGGATGTGAGGGAATTATCTAAAGCTACCATTTATTACCTGAAGGAGCCCAAGTCCATTAAAACTGACACAGGACCATATTTTTACATGCATGAAGCGATTATTGAATTTGTCCCACTATGATCCCACTAGAAACGGATTTTTGATTGTCCAATCACTTTCAAAATTACCTGTATGTATAAATTGGAACATAAATGTCGTTATAATTAATAATTTATTCCTACTCTGTTAACTGTGACAGTAGGAAAAACCTGGGGTAAAATCTTATTTTCTGTCTCAGTTGTAGGAACAGAAAATTCTGTTGAAATATGAACTCCTTCCAAACTTCTTTTTAACAAATTTGAAAGACTTTCATACACATCTTGAAGCTTATGTCTTGTACAAAAAACAGTGTTGTTGTGCAAATATTTTCATTTGCAGTATTTGTAATATTAATACCTTTTTGTTGTTGTTGTTAACTTTGTTAGACTTTATGCAGTTGGTGGTCGTGATGGAAGTTCCTGTCTCAAGTCAGTAGAATGTTTCGATCCTCATACGAACAAATGGACCCTGTGTGCTCAAATGTCCAAGAGAAGAGGCGGCGTAGGGGTCACTACGTGGAATGGGTTCCTCTATGCCATAGGTGGACACGATGCTCCCGCATCAAACCTAACGTCCAGGCTCTCAGACTGCGTAGAAAGGTAATATCCCGATGAAGAAGGATCCTGCTAAAAATTCTCATAGTGCCAGCATGTAGGTTAATTTACAGAAGGAGCTGTTAAGTAGAAAATCCATTAGAAAAGCTGTATTATCATTTATGTTAGCAGAGTATACTTGTATATAAAAATATACTGTATAGTCATCGTATGTTTAATAACACCAAAACAGGGCAGTTAAAAGGAAAATTTATTTTTAATGCATTTCATCTAGAAAAATGATTTTGTTTTCTCAAAATCTCACTCAATAAATGCTAATTATTGAGAAGAATGTGGAACTGAAAATCTTTACAAGTGGCATGGAAGTTCTCTCACAAGTTTCATTATCAGCTTATATTATAACTATTAATTCAGTTAATGATCAAACTCTAAATACCTCTAAATGTCACATCCTTTCCTGTAGGATAGGTACATCGGGATGTACCCCGATGACTCTGGGAAATTTCTGTGGAATTTAATTATTCTGAAATTGCTGTATATTTATATAAAGTTACTATGAGGTGTTTGGGGAGGGCCTTTTTTGAGAATGGTGATCTCTTCTGGTAAGTGAATCTCTTTAGTACCCCACTCAAACAGCCTCTGCTTTAATAGTTCTCTCTTAAAAGGAAAGCAGTTGTCCCAGTTATGGCCCAGCAGCAGAGCTGTCTCTAGAGTGGTGTGTCTAACTATGCAGTAAGAAATGCAGTAAGAGCATGTGCACACATATGAATATATTAATACATGTAAAGCAGCACAAAGGAAATATGTAGCTAATAGTGACTGTTACCAGATAACTAAACACTTTCAAATAATATATTTGAGGAAAAAAAAATCCTTTTCAATTAATGTGCAAAGTCAGTGCCCTCCTAATAGCACCTTTACCTTACAGCCTTGAGAAAGTCATTTCCAGTACTTTTTCCACTGAATTTTGGCATCAGTTTCAGTACAATAAAAATTATCTTTCAGGTATGATCCAAAAACAGATATGTGGACAGCTGTGGCCTCTATGAGCATCAGCAGAGATGCGGTGGGAGTCTGTCTTCTCGGTGACAAGCTGTATGCTGTTGGAGGATATGATGGGCAAACTTACCTTAATACAGTGGAGTCCTATGATCCCCAGACCAATGAGTGGACACAGGTACAGTTTCTGATCAAACCCTACACTCTTATTTATTTGGCTGTTATTTTAAGTTATTTTAAGCTTCTCTGTACAAAGAGAAGCTTTTTGTCTGGCTTCCCATCCAACAACGTGAGCTGAATTTGGTATCTTTATTGGGAAAACCATTTCAACAAGTGGTAACACATTTCTTCACTGTCAATAAAAACAGCATTTCTGGTCACAGTGATTTTCTGCAAGGATAATAATGCAGTTCAGACTTTGGCTGACTTTTTCTTAAGATTTCTCTTCTTTAAGATTGGATTTAAAATCCATACGAAGATTTTACTTGAAAGGATGCCAAAATTCCATTTAAGTCAAGAAATATTTATATGCGCTCCTCCATGTCCACTCCCAAAGCCATGTATCTCTGGTACTAATCTCTTGCATTCTCTGGATGCAGGCATGCTAGGCCTTCTTACTTTCATTGTCTGAATATGTGCTGCGACAAGCCGAGAAGGGAATCTCTTGCACAAACTAGAGCTCATCCTAGTAGAGCCCAAGCAACAGCAGCAGGTTTCCTGTGGCACTGCTGGAACTGTTTAGCCTGGAGAAAGGAAGACTGAGAGAAGATCTGATCAATATGTCTAAGTACCTGAGGGGAGAATGTAGGGAGGAAGGAACCAAACTCCTCTTGGTGGTGGCCAGCGATAGGACAAAGGGCAGTGGGTATAAGTTGAAACACAGGAAGGTTCCTCCTGCATGTGAGGAAGAACTTCTTTCCTGTGATGGTGACAGAACCCTGGCACATGCTGCCCAGGGAGGTTGTGGAGTCTCCTTCTCTGGAGATCTTCCAAACCCGCCTGGATGCCACTCTGTGTCACATGCTTTGGGTGTCCCGGCTGGAGCAGGGGTTGGACTAGATGATCTCTAGAGGTCCCTTCCAACCTTAACCATTCTGTGATACTTTCTTTGACAGGACTGTTCTTCAGCCTTTATTTTGTAAGGGCCTCCTGCAATGTGGGCCAGTGTCTGTATTGATACACTATGTGCAGATATACATAGAGACAAGTGAGTTATTTATCTGTAAGTTCCTATTCAAGAAGTGTTGGCACTACGTAAGTTCACCGCCCACCTAACAATCTTTTTCTCTAAGTCCCTATTATGTTTGGGATTCTCTGGTTCAGATGAAAAGAAACAGTTTTGCCAGTCGGTTGTTTGACTGTCTAGGTCAGTTACCAAGTGTGGTAAGTAATTCACAAGAAGGGATTCTTTTTCCTGTAATACTAAGTGGTTAAAGTTATTAATAAGAATTGTTGGGTTTTGCTGTTGATTTCAAGGAGTGTAACCCTCACATAAATATCTCTTCCTTTTCTGAAGGTTTTAATGAGACCATTTAACTTGACACCAAATTTTTTCTCAGGTTAACTTTTTAAGACAAGTTACAAAGTATGTGGATGAGAGTGCAGCTTTACTGCTGCTGTACAACTATTATTACAATTGTTAACCATGGTCAATTTTAGAAAAAATACTTAAAACAGACTCCCTTTAATCTAACTTTTTCTTTTTTGTCCTTCTTTTTTTTCTTGTAGGTTGCACCATTGTGCTTAGGAAGAGCTGGAGCATGTGTTGTGACTGTGAAACTCTAAATTATTTTCTCTATGAAGGTGACATTCTCCTCTGTAGACTCAGCTGATTTCTTTTCTTTACCTCAAGCAAATTAACATTGCACCAATGGACATGAGATTCAGGATATCCACCACAGAGCAAAATGTTCAGTCTTAGCTCACATATCCACGGTGTTCTTAGGGACCAGTATCAAGCACTTTTCTTAAAAAAATAAAAAAAAAATCATCTTTGTTACCCAGTTCTACAATTCTATTTGTAAGTAAATCAGCTGCAACCTGCTACCTGCCATCAGAGGACTTCTCTTTAGAAACTGCTATGAAAATAAGTGAACTCTGTTCTAAAATAACCGAATGTTACAGACTTAGGGCCTTGGTCCCTCAAGCATGCACGGAAGTGATGCCATTAATGGATATAGTGCCCTGATTTGGGTGAAGCAAGTTACAGATTGGAACCCATATATTTATTTTGCCTCTAATAAACATGTTTTGCTATATAGGTATCTGAGCTATTACAATGCAGGCTGACAAACCAATGCAAACCATTGTAAATGGCAGGTGTAATGCTTGCCTGGGAAATGAAGGTGTGTATTTGGTGAATCTTTTGCACTTTTTCAGCATTCCTAGTTTAGTAAACTTTTTATTTAATCAAAGCCTTATTTTAAATATGTCTTATTATGCTAACAGTAATCTGCTGTTTAATAACTTCTGCATAAAATTTTTGGGCATCCAGTGTACTTTTTGGATTTTTAGGGATTTGGCATAAGATGCAGAACAGTATAGCTTTTTCTGTACTTAATCTGATTCTTAGATTTGCTTTGTCATTTTTAAGAAAGTGTGAGTTCTAAGTTGAAAGAATTCTGAAGTGTGACTAAAAGTTAACCTCTGCAGTTTAATAGGAGCACTTTGGGATTTTGTAAGCATTCCATTATGCCTACACTTCGGGATTTTGTAAGCATTCCATTATGCCTACATAAGGGTCTACTTTGATACTCTTTAATTATATTTTACATGAGGCTTTGCACTAATTTTAAAAGTATAATTTTATATGATGACATAATAGTTACTTCAAAGTGCAAGGGGCCCAGTCCTACAAGCGGCCCAGCACCTTGCAGGAGAGCAAGTGTGCCTCACAAGATTAAATCACATTAGTTATGTTATTTAACAGTTATTTAATTTTTTTCAGATACTTTATAATTTGCCTTTTTTTGATTGCTCTGCTATGTTACACAGAATTGCTTGGACATTCCAAATGTTCTCCGAAAGTCTTTTTGTGTTTGCTTCTCTGTGCCTTGTTTCTGATGCTTTTGAAACAGGAGGTAATACATTTCTTTGTAACAGAGACTTTGAAGATGTGCACTCACTGAATGTTTCTGAAAGTACGTCTGAAGCGTGTGCTACCCAAAGTCTTTGTACACTTGTAATTTTAAATTTGTGTGTTAATGCTCTCGTTAAACTATTTATTGTTTTAAAAGAAATTACTGGGCAGTGAAACTTTGTGATGAAACCTGCACTGTTTGAAACTGAATACAGTTAAACTTATACGCTATGGTCGGCTTAGTGCCTGTTTGTCTCTACAGCCGCGCACAATCAGTTCAAACCGTTGGCCCTTCTGCGGCCTCAGCACCGCCGCCCCGCCCTAACGGTGCGTTAACGGCCTCGCACGCGCCTGCGCCGCGTGACGTCACGAGCGCGGCCCCACCCCCGTCGCTGCAGCTGGCTCTGCCCTCCCTCCGCCCCGCCCCTATCTCCGAGGTGACCGCGACGCCGCGGGTGGGCGGCGGGCGCGGCGCATGCGCAGGCGGGCGCTGCCTGCGGGCGGGGGGCGCGATGAAGGTGAGTGGCCGCGGCCGGGGGGGCCGGGGCCGTTGCCGCCTGCGGCCGCAGTGAGGGCGGCGCGGCGGCCACAGCGCGCCCTCCGCCCTCCGCCGCGCCCGGGCCCGGCTGCGGCGGCCCGGGATTCCCCCGCGTCCCGCCGTCCGCCCCGTCCCGCGGCCCTTCCCTTCGCGAGGTGCCTGCGGAGACCGCGGCCCCCCGGCGGCAGCGCCGCCCCCTCGGGCCCGCCAGGACACCGATCGCCAGCGCCAATCGGCCTTCACTGGCAGGGGTTTTCCTAAACCTGGTTCAGAGTCCCCGCCTGGTTTAATCCGTGTTTGGGGAGCGCGGTGCCCGTTGGCTTTGGTGCGCTCTGACCCTACCGGTCAGAGGGCCCCATAGCAAGGACCCTGCGCAAGAAGAGGTGTCGACCTCTCCTTCGTTACCTGTTGCACTTTGTGCCTCAAGGATGCCTTGGGTCAGGTTTTCCCACTGAGCAAGCTGAGTGTTGTTATGGTCATTGGGCATGAAGGAGAGAGTCTCCTGTGATGTCTTGGTTCCAGTATACTTGACTATAAAGGGGAAAAAAAAGGTGATATTGTCACAACAGTTCTCGACGCAAGCACTCGGCCACAGAAACTTCAGATTTTCCCTCCACAAACCAAAAAACCTTTTAGTGGAATTTGGCACTTGGGTGCATTATTTTAACAGATGATTTTTTTTTTTTCCCCATAGGACTGATCATTGTTAACATGCATTAAGTAGATGTAATATTATTGTATACTTGTGATCTAAAAGTGTATAATTTCCCTCCTTTTTGTTCTCTAGCAAGTATTCACTCTATTAGAAAAAACTTGGTCTGGTTCCCCTGTGCAGTTTGCTTGGCAGAAAACCTTGGGAAATTTCCTTGCTGTAACAGGGTAAGATCACAAATCTATATCCGTACAAAATATTGAGAGTAGGGGGGAGAAAACATGTGAACATGTAAACAATGCACAATATTTATCAATTCCATATTAATGTAACTAATGATAAACTCTTTAGCTGCTTTACTGTAATATAAAAGTTCATTGTGGGGAAAAAAGGTTTATTAATTCATTATTTGCAGATGAATATAATGAATTATCCTATATGCTAATCTTTTTTAGAGGTGATCGCACTGTGAAAATTTTTGATCGTCATGGTCAGAAGAGAAATGAAATTAGCTTACCAGGGTAAGTACTAACATGTATTTGAAATGTATGTTTTAAAAATGCTACTCGTGCATTTTTGCATTGTGCCTACACGATGTGAGAGGTGTGTAGGAAGGGATACTGCCTCTGACTGATACAACTGGAAATGAAGACCAGCTTGTGCGTGGAATGTGAGACAAGATGTGGTCTTGGAACAAAAGGTGAATTTGTAATAAGCTATCAAGGCAGTTTTGAAAATTCAGTTGAAGAGAAACATTAAATTCTGTTTAAAAAAAGGAAAAGCACTGAAGCTAACCTTCTTCCCCTAAAGCTTTAAATCCTAACTTTCTTTTTGAGTCTGAGTTTCATTTACAGAATCTCACTTAGGTGTCCCTTTATCACTGGTGGCTTTAAGCCAAAATATTTAGCTCCTGAAGAACCTTGTAGAAATCCATTTTGGGAATTCCTGGTATTTGCCACCTTAAACTGGATTGACAGACCCAGTTCTCCTGGTCTTTACCAAGTGTGCTTGTGTCCTACTGATCTCTGCATCTTGCTGCAGCATTCTGTTGAGCCTCTTCGTGTGTGGGAGTTGTCAGAGGACTGACTGCTCTGTCAGTCTCTCCTCCCAAGAACCATCTCATGAAAAGGGCTATATCAAACTCCTGCTGCACTCAGGAACATCAGCAAAAAAAATGGGGAAAACATTCCCTGTGCTTCCATTTCCTGTCTGTGACCTAGCTGAGGCGCTGGTGCTATCCATGGCCCAGCTCGTTCTGCGTATATTGCCCTTAATAACGAGCTGGGCTCTGCCCAGCAAAATGCCCTAAAGGAATAAGACTGTCAGGCAGGTGGAATCGGTGGCGAGTCATGTGAAGAGCTCGAGTTTGAGGTCCTGCTTTGTGCATTGTTAGGGGATTGGTGCAGGTGGAGGGAGCCCTGTTCATTTAAGAAGTGCCTGGCCCCGCTAGCTCCTACCATTTAGATAAGATTTAGGTAAGAATGGGATTGTAATGTGCTGTAAAATATATTTTCCATATGAATATGGAAAATATATTTTCCATATGAGTCTGTTACGTGTTTTCATAGGAGAGGACTTCAATTGTATATAGTTCTGGTTGTTAATTATATATAGTTCTTGTTGTTCTTTTATACTTTTGGTTGTTCTTTTATACTTTTGAACATTTTAACATTGTTAGTGAAGCTACTTTTCTTTCTTTTTCTTACAGTAACTGTGTTGCTATGGACTGGGATAAAGATGGAGATACTTTAGCAATAATCACAGACAAATCTAGTGTCATTTATCTGTGGGATGCCAACACAAATAAAACAAGCCAGCTAGATAGTGGCATGAGGTAAGAAAGCTTTTTTGAAAGTACGTATATGAGAAGTTTGACCATTATGACTCGCCATTCTTGATGCTGTCTTATTAAAACAACTTTAATACAAATAAGTATTTTTGTGGAAAGAGTCAAAATTCCCATCAAAATTAAAAACAACAACAACAAAAAAAAAGTGCAAAGAAAATCCCCAGCATGTAAAAGAATTATTAGAAGTCATTTCATGTTAATTAATGCCCCAAATTTGTTTTGCATTGTTGTTATATCCTTACAAAGAGGATTAAAAAGATGTGGGATATGAAGTCAGTATGCACAAAAGAAAATTCTTAGGAAGCTTTTTAAAATGCAGTGTATAGTGTTATTGTGTATTCAGTGTACCTTCGAATATAGATCAAATTTGTATGTATTTTATCTGAAATACCAAGTGAAAATTGTTCTTTCTAAGCTTTCCTACTACATTGGCTAGTTTGTCAGAGAGTTAGAAGATCAATTAACTTGAAATTGGTTGAATTCATACTTAAGTACAAAAAAAAATTCAAAAAAATAAATGAAATTTATCACCTGCCTTACAAGTGTTTTTTTTAAGAACTATGTCATCAGCCAGATTACCCATGATTATATGTTTGTGTCAACGACACTTCACTCTTATAGATACATTTTCATTTGTATAAGTCTTATTACATTAACTCATGTACCTGTTTATTGCTTTCACTGTTATGTGCAAACTTAAATCTGCTACTTGTTTTAGAGACCATTTACTTAGCTTTAAAATTCTGCTTAATGTATGGTGTCCTAAAACTTCAGAACAAATATGCAGAATACTTAGTGTGTAAGCTCATGAATGGAATCTCTGCTATGCAAAGTAAGAATTTTCTTTATTTTAGGGATACAATGTCTGTCTTATTATGGTCTCGAGTTGGAACTTTGCTTGCTGTTGGAACGGCTAAGGGAAACTTGCTCATATATAACCGCCAAACTTCCCGCAAGATTCCTGTCCTTGGTACGCACTTCATTGCAATTAAGCTTTCACATTTCCTGCAAAGTAGAGTTTTGCTAATACACTTAGACATCTTTTTGTTCTGTGTGTGAATATGCAACTCAAATTGTGCTTATATTCAACTTGCTACTTCTGTCCCGTCCTTGTTACGATATTTTTATAGTCTTTTATGTTGAAAAGATGATATGTACCTGGTGTTGCCTCATCAGAAACTTGTTACCTTTCTTGCTTCAGAGTTTGCAAAGGCTATGTGAGGAATGGGGTGGTGATTGCTGCTGATTTTTTTTTAATGGTTTATATTAGATCTGGGTGGAAAAATTAAGGCTGTAGCGGCGTCTCCAGAAATCTGATGCAACAAAAGGGAAGCTGATGGGCTGTACAGCTTCTTATAAGGTGAAAAGACTTTCATCTGAGAGAAAGGGCTAAAAACTTCAAAACAAAAATTTGACAAAATTTGAGTTGGTTTTGATTGCTCTGATAGGTTGTTTCCTGTCATGAAAGTCTGTGTTTGAGTGACCAAACAAACCTGATTTCTATCCTGTATTTTTTTTTCTTTTGTGTTCCTTTATGTCCTATGGGTTTTCTTCTTTTTCAGGTAAGCACAGTAAGCGGATTACTTGTGGTTGCTGGAGTACTGAGAACCTTTTGGCTCTAGGAGGTGAAGACAAAATCATCACTATAAGCAATCAGGAAGGGGATACTATAAGACAGGTAGTATTTATAAACCTTGTTTATTTGCAAGATGTGCAGTAATACCCCCGGTTCCCGAAAGAGGTGCAGTCAGGGGAAACTTGGACTTAGGGTAGCTTCTGCCTTTTAAAGGGAAGCTGGGACTTAGGGTAGCTTCTGCCTTTTAAGTCCTACCAATTTCAAGGACAAAGAAGCCTTGGGAAAACTCACACAACACACAGACATATCTGATATCTTAGACTGTGTTAGGCACTGTGATTTAAGATACTAGAATCTATGCACTTCTGCTCTGGCGAAATATACTTCTTTCAACCTTGGTCCTGGTTTGTATCCATTG